GGGAGCAGATGGATGAGACTTCAAGGCTGATTTGCCACTTGCCAGTGGGTGACCTTGGATGATTCACTCACCTCTCCAAGTGCCTGTAAAATGGAGATGATTATTCTAACTTCTTTGCAGGGCACTGTGAGGACTGAATGTATGAAAACCATATTGCCCAGAGCCTGGTACAGAATGAGGAGTCCATAAGCACTAGTTTCCCTTCTTCCTTCCTGTGGTAGTCCACCTGTGTAGCTCACCTGGAACGCGGCTCACTACCTCTCTTCAGTCAATCTCTGTTCAAATGTCATCTCAGCATACAGGCTGGCCACCATATCTGAAATAACACTCTATCGCTCTTTTTTTTTTGGAGACAGAGACTGAGGCTGTCGCCCTGTATAGAGTGCTGTGGCATCACTGTTCACAGCAACCTCCAACTTGGCTCAAGCCTCAGTTTTTCCATTTTAAGTAGAGATGGGGTCTTGCTTTTTGCTTAGGGTGGTCTTGAACTCGTTAGCTCAAGCAATCCACCTGCCTTAGCCTCCCAGAGTGCTAGGATTTTTTTCTTTTTTAATCTGAGACAGAGTCTCACTATGTCACCCTCAGTAGAGTGCTATGGCATCACAGCTCACAGCAACCTCAAACTCTTGGAATTAAATGATTCTCTTGCCTCAGCCTCCCAAGTAGCTGGGACTATAGGTGCCCTCCACAACACCTGGCTATTTTTTGTTGTTGTTGTAGTTGTCATTGTTGGTTAGTAGGCCTGGGCCAGGTTCAAACCTGCCACCCCTGTATATGTGGTCAGTGCCCCAACCAATGAGCTATGAGCGCCGAGCCCCAGAGTGATAGGATTACAGGCATGAGCAGCCTTGCCCAGCCCCTGTCACTCTTAATTTTCTCCACAGAATTATTATTGCCTGATATTATATTACATATTTATATTTTACTTTGTTTAAAGTCTGTCATCTTACCTGACAATTAGAATGTAAAGTCCAAGAACAAGATTTTATTTTGTTCACTGCCCAGCACATAATAAACCCTTAATAAACAAACGAGTAAATAGAGGAAGAGAGGGAGGGAGGAAATCTATTTTGTTGAAGATTGTTGAAGCTGCTCCTTTTTCTCATTTTGTCAAATGTGGCCATTCTGGTTTGATAATACTCTTTTATATTAAAAAAAAAATTTTTTTTGAGACAGGATCTCACTCTGTTGCCTGTGCTAGAATGCCAGGGCGTCAGGCTAGCTCACAGCAACTTCAGACTACTGAGTCTGAGTGGCTCCTGTGGCTCAGTGAGTAGGGCACTGGCCTCATATACAGAGGGTTGCGGGTTCAAACCAGCCCTAGCCAAACTGCAACAAAAGTATAGCTGGGAATTGTGGCGGGCATCTGTAGTTCCAGCTACTCAGGAGGGAGGCAAGAGAGCCCAAGAGCTGGAGGTTACTGTCAGCTGTGATGCCACTGCACTCTACTGAGGGCAACAAAGTGAGACTCTGTCTCTAAAAAAAGAAAAAAAAAGAAAATAAGAAATACTACTGAACCATAAAAAAAGATGGAGACTTTAATTTTTTTTTTTCAGACATAGTCTTACTATGTCGCCCTGGGAAGAGTATCATGACATCATAGCTCACAGCAACCTCAAATTCCTGGGCTTGAGCAATGTAATCCTTGACTACAGGCGCAATGTAATCCTTGACTACAGGTGCCCACCACAATGCTTGGGTAGTTTTTCTATTTTTAATTATTTTATTTTATTTTGAGACAGAGCCTCAAGTTGTCCCCCTGGGTAGAGTGCTGCGGCATCACAGCTCACAGCAACGTCCAACTCCTGGGCTCAAGCAAGTCTCCTGCCTCAGCCTTCCATGTAGCTGGGACCACAGGTGCCCACCCCAAGGCCTGGCTATTTTTTGGTTGCAGCCATTATTGTTATTTGGCGGGGCCCAGGCTGGATTCAAACTTGCTACCTTAGGTGTATGTGGCTGGCACTTTAGCCACTTGAGCCACAGGCGCTAAGCCAATTTATTTATTTTTTGAGACAAAGCCTCATAGTGTTGCTCTTGGTAGAGTGCTCTGACATCACAGCTCACAGCAACCTCAAACTCTTGGGCTTAAGCAATTCTCTTGCCTCAGCCTCCCAAGCAGCTGGGACTACAGGCACCCACCACAATACCCAGATATTTTCTTGTTGCAGCTGCCATTGTTGTTTAGCTGTCCAGGACCAGGCTTGAACCTACCAGCCTTGGTTGCATGTGGCTGGTGCCATAACCACTGTGCTATAGGCGCTGAGCCAGTTTTTCTATTTTTAGTAGAGACGAGGCCTCACTCTTGCTCAGGCTGGTCTCTAACTCCTGAGCTCAAGCAATCCACCTGCCATGGCCTCCCAAGTGCTAGGATTACAAGTGTCAGCCAGCCACCATGCCCACCAAAACTTTACATCTTTTGTAGTAACCTGAATGGAGTTGAAACACAGTCTTAGTAAGGTATCACAAAATAGAAAAGCATCCAATGTACTCTATACTAATATGAAGTCAGTAGACCATCTAATACACTCTCATGTAAGAGAAAAACTGAATTCAATTCAAGCTGGGAGAGGGGAGGAAGGGGAATGAGGGAAGGGATTGGAGAGCTCCCACCTCATGGGCACAATGTAAGGGTATATGGCACACCTCCAGGGTGTAGGACACAACTACAACAGGGACTTTATCTAACACATGCAAACATCGTAACCCTCGTATTAATCCAAAAATTTAAAAAATAATTTAAAATATAGATTTTAGTTAATGACA